GGAGTATTTTGCGGGTGCAATGTTTTGGGTGTGTTAGTGCCAAGTTGTGTGTGTTGTGTCAAAGGGTGTTGTGGGTGTGGTTTCAGGGGTGTTTGTGCCACCTTGTGTGTTGTGTGTGTGTTATATCATGTCCGAGTGTGTTGTGGGTGTGGTTTTGGGGCTGTTTGTGCCACGTTGTGTGTTGTGTGTGTGTTGTGTTCTGTCGAAGGGTGTTATGGGTGTGTTTCTGGGGTTGTTTGTGCCAAGTTGTGTTGTGTGTGTTGTGTCACATCGGAGTATGTTGCGGGTGCAACGCTTTGTGGGTGTTTGTGCCAAGCTGTGTGTGTTGTGTCTGTGTCACATCGGAGTATGTTGCGGGTGCAACGCTTTGTGGGTGTTTGTGCCAAGCTGTGTGTGTTGTGTCAAAGTGTGTTGTGGGTGTGTTTCTGGGGTTGTTTGTGCCAAATTGTGTGTTGTGGGGGTGTTGGGTTGTTGTTTCCGGGGATGTTTGTGCCAAGTTGTGTGTGTGTCGTGTTGTGCCAAAGGGTGTTGTGGGTGTCTTTTTGGGGCTGTTTGTGCCACGTTGTGTGTTGTGTGTGTGTTGTATCATGTCCGAGTGTGTTGTGGGTGTGGTTTTGGGATTGTTTGTGCCAAGTTGTGTTGTGTGATGTGTGTGTTGTGTCACGTCGGAGTATGTTGCGGGTGCAATGTTTTGGGTGTGTTAGTGCCAAGTTGTGTGTGTTGTGTCAAAGGGTGTTGTGGGTGTGGTTTCAGGGGTGTTTGTGCCACCTTGTGTGTTGTGTGTGTGTTGTGTCACATCGGAGTGTGTTGCAGGTGCAGTGTTTTGCAGGTGTTTGTGCCAAGCTGTGTGTGTTGTGTCAAAGTGTGTTGTGGGTGTGGTTTTGCAACTTTTGTGCCAAATTGTGTGTTGTGGGTGTGTTGTGCTGTGTGAGACGTGTTGTGGGTGTGGTTTTGGGGCTGTTTGTGCCACATTGTGTGTTGTGTGTGTGTTGTGTTGTGTCGAAGGGTGTTGTGGGGGTGTTTGTGGGGGTGTTTGTGCCAAGTCGTGTGTTGTGTGTGTTGTATCATGTCTGTGTGTGTTGTGGGTGTGTTTTTGGGGGGATGTTTGTGCCAAATTGTGTCTCGTGTGTGTGTTGTGTCGAAGGGTGTTGTGGGTGTGTTTCTGGGGTGGTTTGTGCCAAGTTGTGTGTTGTGTGTGTTGTGTCACATTGGAGTGTGTTGCGGGTGCAATGTTTTGGGGGTGTTTGTGCCAAGTTGTGTGTGTTGTGTCAAAACATGTAGTGGGTGTGTTTCTGGGGTTGGTTGTGTCATGTTGTGTGTTGTGTGTGTGTTGTGTTGTGTCAAAGCATGTTGTGGGTGTGGTTTTGGGGCTGTTTGTGCCACATTGTGCATTGAGCGTTGTTGCACACGTGTTGTGTTGCACCTACGTGTTGCGTGTCATGCACATTGTATGCACACCTAGAGTGTGTCGAGTGGTGTGTTGCACGTGCGTTGTGTGTTGCGTGTTGTGTGTTGCACACCTTGGGTGCACACTTAGAATGTGTTGAGTGTGGTGGTGGGTGTTGTGTTGCACTTGCATGGTGTGCAAATGTGTGTTGTGCACATGTGTGCACACCTAGTGTGCGTGGAGCGTTGTGTTGCACACGCGTGGTGTGCAAATGTGTCGCACATTGTGTGTGCAGATGTGTCGCACACCTAGTGTGTGTTGAGTGTTGTTGCACCTGTGTGTTGTGTTGTACACGTGTTGTGCACACGTGTGCACACCTAACGTGTTGGCTGTTGGTTTGTTGCACACACGTGTTGTGTTGCACACACGTGTGTTGTGTGCACGCCTAGTGGGCATTGACTGTTGTGTTCCATACACGTGTGGGGTTGCACGCGTGTCTTGCGTGGCGTGCAAATGTGTGTTGTGCGCAGTAGTGTGGACCGTGCCGTGTGCACGCGTGTCGTGCTGCGCACGCCAGCGCGTTGTGCGTGTGCCGAGTGCGCGTGCGCACTCCGCACGCGTGCCATTCGCGTGTTGTGTGCTGTGCACGCCAGTGTGCTGTGCGTTACGTGTTGCACGGTGCGTGTTTGTGCTCATTGCCACGTGCAAAAACACTTTCTCTTTAGGGAAAAAAAATCTTTTTTAGGGGAAAAAATGCCTCTTTAGGGGAAAAAAAAAATCCCAATTTGTGGGTTTTAGGTGTTTTTTTTCCTGTAAAATTTGTATTTTTTCCTCTAAATTGGTCGCTTGGGCTCTTGGCACAACCCCGACCTCACACCCCTGCAGGAAAATGCCCATAAATGGGGAAAAAAAAATCAGGGATTATTAAAAAGAAAAGAGAGCCAGGGTATTTGGAAATATTTTTTTGGCATTTTCTGCAAAAGAGGGACTGAAAAAAAAAATCATAAACGCATGACATAAAGTACAAGAAATTGTTAATGCGTGCTCAGATTGCAAAAAAAAATCGTAGATTTGTGTTCGTAGAAGGCAAAAATTGATAAATTCATGCACACAGAGGGCAAAAATTATAAATTTGTGCACATAGAAGGAAAAAAATCATAAATTTGTGCTCATGGAGGGCAAAATTTGATACATTTATGCACACAGAGGGCAAAATTTATAAATTTTCCACATAGAAGGAAAAAAAATCATAAATCTGTGCATGCTGAAGGCAAAACTTCATAAATTCGTACATATAGACTAAAGAAAAATCATAAATTCACACATGGGGGCAAAAAAAAATTCATAAATATATGCACAGAGAGTGAAAACCAGAATAAATTCATCCATGGAGGGCAATAAATCCTAAATTTGTGCACACAGACATGAAAAAACTAATAAATTCACGCAGAGAGGCGTAAAAAAAATCATAAATTTGTGCCCATAGAGTGCAAAAAAATCACCAAGTCATGAAGAGGCGGGTGAAAAAATTAATAAATTTGTGCCCACAGAGGGTAAAATTCGTAAATGCGTGTATGGTGTACCGAAAAAAAATCATAAATTTATGGATATAGAGGGCAATAAATCATAAATTTGGGTATATAAACACACACAAAAATATATTTGTCGATGCAGAAGGCAAAAAAAAAGGTAAATTCATGCACAAAGAGGCAAAAAATTTGATGAATTCATGGAAATCTAGACCAAACCCACCTACAAGCCCATGGAGACACGTGAGAAATGAAGAAGACGCCGGAGCCGCGATGTCTCGGCTGCAATTTTATTGCTCTGGTAGAGGTTGATGCATCTCGTCGTATGACCTCATCCTACGCGTGTGATGAGGGGACAATGGGGACAATGGGGACAATGGGGACTATGGGGATGGTCCCTCTTCTCCATCCGCCTTGGTTTATCTGCGAGAAGAAACCAAGAACTCAAGAGAAGGAAACATTTTTCCAAACAATTCTCAATTCTCCCTCTTTTTTTTTTTTTTTTATTAGGTTTCCACCTCAAAAATCGAACTTACAACCAGCAGTTGTTGCTGTTGGCGACCTTGGGTACCTCGGTGGGGACCCCCGTCACCTTAAAATCATCCACCTGGAAGACCCAACGGCCCGGGACGTTGACATTGGAGGTCTTGGTGATGTTGATGATGGCTTCGGTCTCGGAACCGGGGATGTTGTAGAAGTGGGTGTCATCTCCGCTGTTGAAGCCAGCCTGGAAATGAGGCCAAAATGGAGGATTCAGAGGGTTAACCCCACCCAAGGGATTAATGGCATGGGACAACCTCCTACTGGTGGTGGTGGTGTCCCTCAAAAAGGTTATGGGCCAACCTCCTACCTTGGACATTGTTCTCACCAAAAAATGTTGTGAGAGAACCTCCTACCTTGGACAATATTGTCACCAAAAAATGTTGTGGGACAGCCTCCTACCTATGGTGAACCTGATGTCATCCCAAAAAACATTACAGGTCCTACCTTCAGCAAACCTGCCATTGTCCTCCCAAAAATGTCACGGGCCAATCTCCAACCTTTGTCATCATTGTCCCCAGAAGATGGGATGGGACAACCTTCTACCATGAGCAAATCTGGTGTTTTCCCCGCAAAAACATTGTGGGCCACCATCCTACCTTTGGCATTGTTGTCCCCCCCCAAAACGGTACAGGCCAACTTGCAGCCTTGGATGAACCTGGTGTTGTCCCCAAAAAACCCATTATGGGCCAAACTATCTTTGGAATTGCATTCTACCAAAAGAAAAAAAAAAAATTATGGGCCAAAGTCCTACCTTCAGCATTGTTTTCTCCAAAAATATTGTGGGACAAAGTCCTACCTTCGGCAAACCTGGTGTTGTCCCAAAAAAACCCATTACTGGTCAAACGTCCTCTCCCATTCCTCAACTCCCTTCGTCCCGTTTCCCTCTGGTCATCCTTCAGCCCTACGTACGTGGGCCGGGGTGCCTCCAAGACCTGTTTCGGGGTCACCATCGCTTGCCGTTCCCGTAGTCCACTGGATATCCCAATAATTGAGGATGATGAAGGACGTCTTGGTGTTGGTGGCCAGAATAGCTTGGAAGGTGTTGCCCTGCGAAAAGGAAGGAGGACGTGACACCATCAGTGGTGGGATGAGCAGGTAAGGATGGGATTTAGCCCTAAGGGTTGCACACAGGTGTAAACTCCTTGCCTGTAGCTGTGCAAGGAAGCCATCTTGGTCAGGCATGGCCCATCCAGGTTGGTTTTTTTGGTGTCTACCTTCAGACAAGTACTTTTGGTGCTCTACCACAGCCTCTTTCTCTGCACGAGGTGGCCAGAAGAACAGTGTAGTGGGAAAACTAGCTTTCAACACAGAAAATTAATTGGGGAGTAAAGATTTGGGTGCAACACCTGCATGTCAGCACCTAGGGATGGTTGAGGAGCTCCACGGGGTTTTGCTTACCCATCCAGGGCTGGCAGGTAGGGCAGAGGGACCAGAAGATACACACTCACCTCAAATGTCACTTGTCATTTGTGACAAAGGTCACAAATGTCATAAAGGCAAATGAATGGGTGGCAAAGAGCAATGGATGGGTCATAAAGGTCAACGAATGGCTCGTGAAGGCCAGGAACGGAACGTGAAGGCCGAGGAGGAGGCTGCAAAGGCCATCGAATAGATTGTAAGGCCAACAAACGGGTCGTGAGGCCAACAAATGGGTCGTGAGACCAACAAAGAAGTTGCGAAGGCCAACGAGTGGGTCACGAAGGCCAACGAGTGGGTCACGAAGGCCAATGAGAGGAATGTGAGGCCAACGAATGGGTCATAAGGACGATGAGTGGGTCATGAGCACCAACGAGTGGGTTGTAAGGCCAACACCTGGGTTGGGAAGACCAAGAAATTGAGCACCTGCAGGTTTTGGCTTGTCTCGGCCCTCAAATTGATGATGGATTTGAGGCCGTGATTCGGTTTTGCTCTCCAAAATGCATTTGCCCGTGGCCACGCACTCGGTCTCTTCACCGAGTCAGGGTGGGAGAAATTAATTTCCATGTGTGTGACCTCATCTGGCCTTCAAGTCATGACCTTACCTTATTGGTGGTGGAGCCGTAGTAGGCCACGTGGTCCCAGGTGGCCACAAAACCCCATGTGGCGGTGAAGGGGATCTCAGGAAAGTACTGGTTGATGTCCTTGGTGATGCGTTCCAGCAGCGCCGGGTCAGTGATCTCTCGGTAGAAGACGTCCCCTCCCAGAACGTTGTTCACATCCCCCCAGTACGGGGCCACGAAGGGGCGTCCGTCGGCCAGTGGGAAGGGTTCGGGGGTGTATTGGTGTACCCGGATGCCAAAGGAAATCACACCATTGTTGTTCACCTGCAAAAGACACCGGGTCAACCCCCGATGTGACGGCAACCTGTGTTGGAAGCCCTACCACGGGGTCAACACCTTGACTTGGTACCCTGGAGATGGACGTGGGATGCAGATGTGGTCTATTACTGACTTCTGCATCTCTACCATCATGTTGGAGATGTTTAGGTTACTATTGCATCTACAGATCTATCAAAACGAGGGTGGTGGGACCCTAAACTTGACCGTGGACCTCCCAACCACTGCTCCAGAAGGGTGTAGGTCTCCTCCCAAGACTCACCAGCCATAGGAAGATGTTTTGATGCACCAGAAAAAAAACCCTCATATTAAGGCAACCAGGTCAATCCCATGGTTGGGTGGCTTTTGTTGAGGGGGCAAGAGACAAAATGGACTGAAAAAGGGAGAAAAAAACCCCAAAAAAGGGGGGGAAATCGGAAAATGGAGAGACACGCAAGGAAGACGTGGAATTTTGGCTCACGTACGTAAAGAGTTTGGTGCTTTTTGCCGTAGAAGGTGAAGGGCACGGCGATGGGGATCTGCTTTGACGTCCCGTCATCAAGTTTAGGGTTCTTATGGTCATGCTGGTCCAAACCGTAGGGGTAGAGCAAGGATGCTGCAAGAAGACAAAAGTTGAGGTACTGGGGGACCACCCAACCCCCCAAATCTCGTGCATTTTGGGGTGAAACCCGCCGGATTTGGGATTCCTGATTTTAAATGGAGCCTCTTTGCCTTGGGTTACCTAAAAATGGGGTTGACTTCTTATCGGTGTCCAACGGTTTGGGGTGAAACCGGGGGGTGTGTATGTGAACCGGCCCGTGGGAATCGCACATAGATTTGAGGACAAACAGTGCGAAAAAAGAACATCCGATTTCCGTATACCCACGGCGTGGCCGCTCCCTTCCCGCTTCCCAAATTAAAGCGGAAACAATCTCGTTTTTGGGTGGAAATCCCGGGTATTCGCGCAAGACTCACCTTTTTCTCGCTCTGGTTGGACGTTCATCACAGCTCCTGGAGAAGAGACGGGAGGAAATATTAACCCAGGAGCAACCATCGCCCGGGCTTTTTCCATCTAGCAGCATCCTCCAAAATGTTTTCTTTATTTTTTTTTTTAACCTACCTAACATCAGGAACAGGAAAGCGAAAGAAAACTTCATCCCAGCTCCTGCAAAATCATAAAAATTCTGTAAAAATAATAATAAAAAAATCCAAACCCACCCCTGATAAACTGATGAAACAACCTGACGATGCTCTGGAGGCGAAAGATTTCTCATTAAAATACCAACCGGGTTCTTTTCACGGTATTTTTGTCCCAAGGTGCGATGGGAATGAATTCATTTTGATTTTTTTTTTTAAAAAAAAAAGCATTTCCTGATCAGGAAAATTTTTATTTTCATTATTGACCGAAAGCTGAGAGCAAAAAAAAAAAAAAAGTCAGATTTCCCCGAGGGTTTTTTAACCCTTTACTCGTCCTATTTTGTTCCAGAACTCAGGGGCTCCTGCCTATGAGTATTCCCCCTCTTCCCCGGAGCAAAGCTAGGCATAAATTAGAGGAATTTTGGGGGGAAAAAAAAAAAAAAGTTGAAAAAAAAAGTTGAAACTGAGGCAGGATGGAGGATGCACGATGTGAGGAGCAAACTCCAAATCCGGAGCGGCGCAATCCTCCTTTGCACCCAACCGGGTGCTTTTTTGGGGAGAATTTCTCCACGATTCACGTGATTTTTTAAGCCGTTCGAAGCGAATTCACGCAATTTAAGCGATTTAAAGAGAGAGAAATGAAGAAAAAGTCTTACCTCGTGTCCGTGTCCCGATTTCCCCCCGGGGAAAGGCAAGAAGAGAAGAAAAGAGGCACCGAAAGGAGCTCAGCCACCAAGAAAATGAGTTTTCGGTTGCATCCTGCTCCTTCTTTTAACACGCAGCTCCCCCCTCCACGATGGGGAAAAAAAAAAAAAATCCTTAAAAAAAAATAAATTATAAGCACAGTGGAATCTGCCAACTTTCTGCCCGTCAAGGCGACGCGGATCTGTAATCCCTCAGCGTCTCCGAAAAGGCAAATGTCAGGACATGGGAGAAAAAAATATTGGGCATTTCTCCACGATTTTTTAATATCCTAGATAAGGTTTTTGGCAAGGAGAGGTGGCAGATGCGGGGTGGGTGTGGAGTTATCAGGAATTCCCGTATGGGATTTATTTATTTTTTTTTCTTATTAATCTC